GGATTTAGGGTTTAGGGCTGTAGGGGTTTAGGGTTTAAGGTTATAGGGGTTTTAAGGGTTTAGGGATTTAAGGCTTCGGGCTATAGGGGTTTAGGGTTTAGGGTTATACGGGTTTAGGGGTTTAGGGATTTAGGGTTTAGGGTTTAGGGCTATTGGGGTTTCGGGATTTAGGTTTAGGGTTTAGGGCTATAGGGGTTTAGGGTTTAGGGTTATAGGGGTCTAGGGGTTTAGGGTTAAGGGATTTAGGGTTTAGGGCTATTGGGGTTTGGGGTTTAGGGTTATAGGAATTTGGGGGTTTAGGGTTTTTGGGTTTAGGCCTATAGGGGCTTAAGGGTTTAAGGCTTAGGGATTTAGGGTTTAGGGCTATAGGGGTTTAGGGTTATAGGGCTTTAGGGGTTTAGGGGTTTAGGGTTTGGGGATTTAGGGTTTAGGGCTATGGAGGTTTAGGGTTATAGGGGTTTAGGGGTTTAGGGATTTAGGGTTTAGGGCTATCGGGGTTTAGGGTTAAAGGGCTCTAGGGGTTTAGGGTTTAGGGTTACAGGGGTTTAAGGGTTCAGGGTTTAGGGATTTAGCGTTTAGGGCTATGTGCGTAGGACCTTTTTGTACAGTGTGTGGATTGCTTTTGGGGCCTATCGAACACTTGCAGTCATAGTATGTATTCTTCTAGTTTATGTGGTTTTATACGTTTTTTTGCGGTTTTGGCTGTGCCTGGTCCCAGCGTCTGAGCCACAACATGGCAAAAACAATTTGAAAAGCCCTATAAAGGCGCATAAACCGTGTAACCTTTCACGGTTTAACCTTCACTGTTCGCTGTCGCACCAATGCCACACTCATCATGACGGCCTGCCAGTCTGACGATGCTCAGACTTGCGCACAAGTGCCTAGCGAAGGGCTTCCTGCAGAGGGTTTGCGGCAGGTCCAGTATGTGAGTGTCGACAACCCGTCTCGGCACTACTTACTCACACTCAAGACCATATGCCCCAATCTTCAACTGATGGCACTTGATTCTGTCCATCTTGCAATGAAGTGTGAATATGACTCGTCAAGAAGGCGGACCGGCTTCACGAGAGTCCTGAGACGGATGCTGTGCAAGTTCACTGCCGTGGATTCGACGTTGGACGCGGGCGCATGGGGAAAATTTTTCGATGGCCGCAACAGTCCACCGCTGACAGCAGCGGAAATCAGGTTTCGTTACCTGATCGAGGACCGCTCCATGCGGCAGACAGACGCTGTCAGGCTTTTAAACAGCCTCGATCCCACCACTCCCTTCTGTTCCCGCGCCGAATGGGCGCAGACGCTGGCTGCAGTCGTTTCTGTGCACAGGCAGGAAGCCGACAGACTTGCCCCAGGCCCTAACCGCCGAATCAGCTGTTGCACACTGCCTCGGCCGCAGACAGGAGTGAGTGGTACTTCAACAACATCAGGCTGCGTCATTCTTTCCCAAGAAGTTATTTGAACCTCTTGCCGGCTGGAACCGCCAGCAACGAGCCCCTGCACCATGAGATCATCTCATGGTTTCGGGAGACTCAGAAGATCCGCCAGAGCAGCCTCAAGATGAAGCTGAGGATCTAGAATCTTACGTCTCGGCAAGTTAAATTCACATAACGCGGCCATGTACCATCAAACAAGCCGTCAACTCAGTCAGGCCATTGTCTTGGCTCGTGCGAGCAGCTACTGTCTGTGGCGTGCTGGACAGTGGGAAGCCTGGTGCAGCCTTTTGGATGACGACGTCAAACTGCAAAAAGCAGACTTGCCAGTCGAAAAAGCACGCAGGTCAGAAAGAGCTGCTGTGCGCGCCCCTGCAAAGCACGGCACAGGATCTCGTCTGCTGAAGGCACGGGTCCGACGACGAACTCCACACACTGTAAAGCGCAAGGACGGCCTGCGCCGAGGTGGAGTGCACGTCGAAGTGATGCGCAGCGGGTGAAGTAGCCCAACCTTTTCCTACATCAAGGACCCTCTGACGCAAAAGCGACTCAGCTTGAGTCTGTTTCTGATTCTACTTATCTCCGCTTGACCAGGGGCGAGATGGGCATGCGTACGCCAAGCCGAAGCTGACACGTTTTCAGAAACGTGCTGCTGAGTCCTTCCTGAGTTGGCCGTTGGCCATGTGATCTACCATAGCGACCTGTTTCAGGTTGTTTTACACGTGCACAAAGTCATCTTGACACTTACTTGTTGTCCACGCCTTCGTTGAGGTCGAAACATCATGCAAGCCGCGGTTCAGCTCGCTTTGTGGTGTAATGGCGGGTCCTGGGGGTTTGCAGCTCACCTCCACAGGGTGTATCGGGGACTTGTCCACCTATCAGTGTGATTGTTTCCTGATTGTGCTACACCTTCTTCATCGTGGTACTAACACCGTCCTGCGGAAGTTTTAAAGCACCCGTTTGGAAGATGTTCAGTTGTTACGGAGGCCAGCCGCATCCTGTGATACCAGTGAAATGGGGAAGACGGGCTCATGAAGGTCCAGTTGAGTCAAGTAGGATCAGGATCAGTTTCGTCCTACTGCAGCACCATGTCCAGTTCGTTATCAGAAAGTCGCGTCTGGTTCTTCCCGCACGCTAGCAGCTGGCAAGAAGCACCACACATGCAGCATCGCAGAAGACATAGTGAATCATCACCGTTGCTGGGTGATGGAGTGCTGTCCGCGTTCTTTACATAGACTTCATGTTGCAGCATGCCAGATATACTGGAGACAGAGCCAGCGCGAGGTGCGAGGAGGAGGAGGAGAGTTCCGAAGCAATGGGCTATTCGAAGACTAGCACTTCTTGAAAAGTAGTGGTTCGTCAGGGATTCCTGTCCATAACGATGCGAGTCCTGGGCGCCGTGATGAACAACCATGTCATCTAGAAACACGAGAACATCTATGTTGGCCTGGGTTGTGAGCGGACATCGAAGAATTTGTCAGATCGGAAGATCGCACACATAAGAGCCATGAGACGTATCTTGTACAGGCAGCAAGAACCACTCCGGATCCCGGGTCGAGTCGTATGGTAGCACTACCTGTGTAAGCCCGGCATAGCTGCAACGCTTATGGCTCAAGAATGTCAGCTAAGACAAAAATCAAGCGTGCAAGACGAAGAATGCAGACATGCTCCGGACCAGACAAGAATCCCGTGACGCCTTGTTTGCTGGAAGGGACTGGAACACCGTCATTATCATCAAGCTCGAGGTGAGGTGAGCAATATATCGACACCAGATCCTCATGCGTGGGTAGGTGGTGCCTCAGTTGGTGTCATGCTTGATACAATCCAAGTTCGTGACTGGAGCTTGTTTTGGGAATGCCGGATCATACGGCACGCTGGACTTGGGTCGCATCCTGCTCGAAGGAGTCAACCAACACGAAGTCCAAGACCGGCGCTGCAGCAGGTGCACGTGCAACATGATGTTGGGCGTTGAGCCCATCGGTAGTTTCTATTGGGTGTCGCGATGCTGTTGCGAATATTCGAGCAAAGCAGAACCGTTTCCACACATAATACAGATTGGTCCTTGCCACTTAGGGCTATCGGGGTTTAGGGTTTAGGGTTATAGGCTATAGGGGTTTAGGGGTTTAGGGGTTTAGGGGTTTAGGGTTTAGGGATTTAGGGTTTACGGCTATAGGGGTTTAGGGTTTAGGGCTATAGGGGTTTAGGGCTTTAGGGAATGCGGGGCCTTCAGGGAGACCTTCAGGAAATGAGGGTTGATGCCGGTGGGAGAGGGCTAGGCTCCACTTGAGCTCTCCTGCTCCAACCATTGGGGGATTCCTCCAGACCAGGCTGGGCAGCTGGCAAATGTAAGGTTCTAATTATAGTATACTGGGCCTGGATAATTACCTGCATCATTTTGGGGTTTGCTAGTTGCATTTATAGTGTAATGGGCCCCAAGACCCTATTCTAATTGATAAGGCCCCCTCATAATAGAACCCTTTAAGGATCCCTTTAAAGGCACCCCTGTTTTACTTATTAGGGTCCCTACATTAATCCAGACCACAGGTCCATGCAGGATGGCGTCACCTAGGTGTCGAGCACTAGTAACAACCTGGGGCTTGGCGACGAGGGTATACTCTGACCCCAAATAACCTACCTTTTTGAGGAATGATATAAAAAAATCATATTAAGGATCCTCAAAAAGGTAGGTTCTGTGGGGTCCAGGTAGGGATTAGAGGGGCTTAGGGAGTAGTGCTGAGGGATTAGGCTTAGGGTTGAGGGTTGATAAGTGGGGCTTAGGGTATTGTGGCCTCAACGGTAGGGGCCTGAGTAATTCGAGCAAGGTTCTGAGGTTCCCATAAAAGTTGCTTACGCGTTGCTCTGGTCTGAAGGAAATTTCAGTTGCCTTGTGCCAAGACTTCAAACCCGGAAAAGCCTAAAGTTTAAAGTTTCAAGCCTAGACCTGCAACCCTCCTAGACCCCCCCCCTACAGGGACCAAGAAAGCTCTATCAAGGGGTGCTACTTGCGGGGTCCTGGCTCAACCCTAAACCCTAAACCCCTAAGCCCCTAGGCCCCTAAGCCCCTAAACCCCTAAACCCCTAAACCCCTAAACCCCCTAACCCCTAAACCCTATAAGCCCTATAAACCCCTAAAACCCGGAGCCGCCTAAACCCCTAAACCCTAGACCCTAAACCCTAAACCCCTGAAGCAAGCCCAGAAGCCCTGGAGCCGTCTAAGGAATGCGGTGCACGAGATGGCCGGTTTGGGAAAGCCTTCCTGGCTCCCAGAGGATCCTCGGGGAAGTTTTGGAGATCCCTTAAGGTTTAGGATTTAGGGTTTAGGGTTTAGGGTTTAGGGTTTAGGGTTTAGGGTTCAGCAGCTCCGGATCGAGCAGTTTTATTGTACAGTTTCATTCACGGTCGAGACATAAAACCCACCCACCCTCGATTCCCACAACATTGGAAAT